CAAAAGGTCAATTTGTCCAGAAGGGCTATTAATTTCGTTTTGGCATTTTGCATTGTCCACTATAAAACAATGTTTCACATTTCAAATTGTTGCCACCAAATATTAGAGCCTGCCTTATATTTAAAGAAATTAAATAATCAAGAATCTTGCATGAATGTATGTTTCTTGCATTGTAAAAAACCATTGATACCTAGAGATATCAAATTTTGAAAAATGTAGTCCACCACTCGAATATGGCCATCTGGAAGCTGAAATTTGGAATTTGTTTTTCACTCATCTCATATTTTGCAAAACTTTAACGAGTTTTTGATTAACAAACTCAACTATTTCAAAGCGAGCAATGGCAACACTGTATGGTGGGGACATTTTTACATTCAGCGCACGAGACAGTGTATTGGAAATTCTAAAGATATGCTGTTGAATTGAATTTTAATGTTTAAGTGCAAAGAACACGATATCTAATAAATAAAGGTAACACACAAGACATTAAAAAATGCCTCTGGGTATTATATAAAATCTGAAGGTTTTCAGAGTTTTTTTTTTTTTTTTTGGTTGCACATAATATTTTCCTTCGCAGAGAAAGATTGCTGTATTTACTGAGATGTCCTTAAGTTTATTATGGAAATATTAAATTTAGTTCCAACTTTATCAAATTGAAATCAAAAAGTGAGTTTATTGTCAGGTAGGATGCCTAGACACGATTTTTTCTTTCAGTCACGGGAAAGTAGATAACAATCTATTTGCAAAACAAACTCCAAAATGTAAATTCATAACGCATTTAAATTGTTATATTGTCAAAAGGAAATCAGCCAAATACATGTAATCAATAATATATACCTCTGTTGCAATGTTTAAAAAATTTAAATCTTTAAAAATGCTTTTTATCATTAAGTTGGAACAAATAATAAAATGTAAAGAACTATGAACAATTAAAATATTTATCTATAGTTTATTTAACAATCCTTATAGAAAAAGAAGTTATATTTCAGAAAAATCTTGCAATTTACACTAAAGGATGCAATAAAGTAGAAAATATGTAAAAGTGAATTTTAAAGCTATTTAGTTAAAATACATTTGTATCATGTAAAATGAGGTCATTATAATCAATCTGGTTTGGAGAAAAGGCATACAAATTCGAATCACTAATGGATCCCAGTTATCTTCAATGATAAATTTTTTGTTCAGGGGCTAACAAACAATTGTATGTTCGGTGCCTTACATCAAGGATGGATACCAGTTTTATCTCTCAGCATGTAAGGATTTTGGCATTGGATTTATTTGATTAGCATTTTAATAGCAGATTATTTATCTACCTCATGTAGTGTATAGACAACATAAAATGTTAAAAAAGTTTTGTTGCAGAAATTTTAGAATGACCTACAGAACAAACAATTGCCTGCCATCTATAATCTCCAGTTTGTTGAGATGACATCCAACCTTTCATTTACAGGTCACATTTGCTACTGCACACAATATGGTAGTCAAGTTCTGCAAACTTTACTTTTGAATGGCTCACAACATGAAGAGTTATCTACTACTCTGTTTTGCCTCCAGTAATATTATAATTCAGGTTGTTGTGGGGATGCCCATATTTGGTAACACATGAAGACTACCACATGTTTTGATGATCATGCATTTAAAATGATTAGCTTATCATGGCATGCTGACATCTATGACTACATTACTATCTGAGTGACATAAGAAAAAATCTTGATATTACCACTTAGAATGCAAAAGTTCATGCCAGCTTTTGCAAAAGCACAATAATTTGGCATGTAGACCATTCATTTCACACGTTTAGAATTACACCTCTCTAAAAAACTCATAACAGACAATAAACCTTGTGAGAATGCATACCGACATTTTCAGCCAATAGTGAGCAGTTTCAAAGCACACATACAAATCTCTCCAGTTTTTTCTCATATTTTACTAAAAAATGGCACTATTTTGTTATAGAATAAAAACACACAATTCCTCTGCTCGTTTTGCATGCATTGATTTTACATGATTTAGAATGTTAGATATATTTATTTATATTTAAAGGGAGGCAATAGTGTAGGATTATGTTTCTTCTAAAAGACCTAGGCCTATACATAAATTAGTTTTAAGATTAACAAGGATGTACAATTGAATTTTGCTAATTTTAATATCAGTAATGTACAGAATAGAAATTTTATAAGAAATTTTTTTGAAAATCTTGGACATTTTCAGAACATTCGAATTTGTTACTTTTTATTAATTATGGCAATTCAAATTAAAATGGACTTTTTTTTAACCCATCCCAAAATTACCATTATTTTTCGCAATAAAATAGTCCTGGAAAAATTGACTTAAATAATCAAAATTAACACAATTTTCATGTATACTATGCTTGATATTTAAATTTTTTCAATAATTAAGATCAAATAACATAAATAATGTAATTTTGATGCCTAATATTAAATCAATTCAAGTTTGTTAAAAAATGGCAAATTAAAATCTAATTAATGGCTTTGAAAAGTGGACAAAAACTTCGCTTTGGTTTGCTAAACTTACCATATATTAATTTGCTTATAAATTCATCTAGCTTATTTTTAATTCAATATTTAAAAAAACCAAAGTCTCAGTCAGTAATTAAATATTCAAGAAACAATTCAATTTTTTAACACCCTCAAATCTGTACATATAGCATTTGTATTATTTTGTTTAAAATATATCCAAGGAACATGCCAACTTTGAAATATAAAAATGGGGAGATATTCGCATGAAAAAAAAACCTGGATTTCCAGGACGTTTTCATGTTGCATGACAACATCATTTCAAAGAACTCCAAACTGTCTTAAATTCACTTCATAATGAATGATTCAAGATACTGAACTATTTTTTCTATGTTATTTTATTCTCAAAGAAAAAAAAGCTCTCATTTATATTAAAAAAAAAAAAAAAAAAAAAAAAAAAACTTTTAAATATTAAGAACTTATTAATTTAATCTTGTTTCTTTATTATTCGGCACATAAACTTGTAATTTTTTGTATGAATGATGTACGCAGTCTGAAAGTTTCGACCTAACCCCCCCCCCCCCCCCCGAAAAAAAACTGTAAAATTAGCTCTGTCCTTTCTCTGGATGAAAAAATCTCTTTTTTTTTTTGAAACAGTGCTTTTTTTTTTTGCATAACCGCTTGGTCTGCTTGTCCTTTTGTCAATTTCTGCCTAAGTAACTTGTATAGTATGCTCCAGTAATGGTTTTCCCTTTTCAAGATAATATATTGAGACAATTCCATGGCTTCCCAGAAAACTGTTGCCATCACTTTCCCAGCAGAAGGAACAGTTTTTGCCATTTTTGGAGCTGATTCTCCCTTTGTGTTTTGTTCCTGGGCAGTAATGATGAATCCTGGTTTCATCCACAGTGATTAATAGTTGAAGAAACTCCTGCACCAAAAAAAAAACGGTGCAAATGTTTATTCAGACACGTTTTCGGTGAGCAAATGTGGCAACCAACACGCAGCCAGTTTGTGCATATCCAAATCTTGGTTCAATATGTGCCAAACACATTCTTTGGTTATGCTAATAGCCTCTGCCATTGCTCTAACCTTGATTCGATGGTCGTCAGCACCATTTAGTGGAATTTGGTGATGTTTTCGACAGTGTTTGCATTTTTGGCACTCCTGAATGTTCATCGTCATCCAAGCTGGTATGGCCCCATTTAAATTCAGCTGCCCAAAATTTCACAGCAGTAAATGATGGTGCAAATTCCCAGGAGCTAATCTACTGGGAAATGTGATGGAAAATTGGGAGAGTTGGCTGTACATCGATGAAAAACTATTGTAGATAAAATATACCAGTTATGAAGAGCAATCATTAAATGCATGAGTAAACTGAAGAAATCTGGCACCAATGTACAATAAGTGTGTATGGAAACTTAACACAGCTCAGAACTATAAACAGATTGTCTAGCCTTGCAAGTGTTATCGAGTTAGCTTGACACAAAGTATAGAAATCTTATAGCATTTACATTTCAGCTTTCTATCAACTATAATTTGATATATAACTGAAGAATTTGGCTGTACACCAGTTTTCTCATTCATATATCAACTGCTCTCTTATAAAATGTCATTTGGACTGATGGGCCAATAGATACTTCAGTGCAACTCCAGATAATTTGATTTAAGAGCTCAGTTTTGTTTTCTTTGTATACTATCTGAATGAAACTAACTTAAAAGTACATAATAAGAGCAAATCTTTGTAAAAGTGTTGAAATTTTCAATTATAACAACTCAAACATATTCAAAATGCTTCAGAAATATGGCACAGTATCTTATAAATTGATAACTAAGAATTGCCATTAAATTTCATAAAAATTGTTGTAAATTTATTTCAAAAAGGATGAAAATAAACAATAATTTGAATAATATATGTTCTGTCAATCATGTTTTATGACTAACAGATAAAGAAGCAATGGTCAAGATCTCTGAAGTGCATATTTTTGTGTATTTTTACATGCATCTATATCCTGCAGCTTTTCTGCCTCTTCTCCCTAGTTAATGTAATTATGTATGTCTTTTTAATATTTAAGGGGGGAGGATGTTACCTTCAAACTTACTGCTTTTATGAGGTTCTTAGTTTGCAAAGCCAACTGAAAACTAGTGTTCTAAACACAATTAAGATTTTATGTTTCCATTCTGGAGACATAAAATGATAGTGTCATAAACTGGGAGATTTTAATAAGGATTTTTTTCTCAATGGATACAGAAAAACAAGGAAAAGTAGCAAAGTAAGAAACTCTTTTCTAATACAGTTCAGTATTTTAATGACTGAATTATTAAATATTATTTACATTTAAGTATATATTATATAATATTATAATTTTAAATAAATACTACAAATGTATTAACCAAATTTTATTCCTTTAAAAACAAACTCCAAAGTGTAATTTTGCATTGAGTGGCAATCATTCCTCCTTAATTAAATTTCATTTGCCCTTAGCAAATTGAAATTAATACTAAATAAAAAATCAAACAAAATATAGAAAATCATATTTAATTCATTGACATATTTTACAGCATACGATGTAGCAGCAGATACAAAATATGACCAATCACCACTGTTACACTGTACTGTCACACTTATTTTTGACAAAAATAAATGAGTAGTTGAATAACAATGAGGAAATAATCACTGTCAGAACATATTAAAAAAAGATACAAACATTTTATATATAATCAGTCAAACTATTTTAAAACTTTTGTTTGAATTCAAATGAAATACACAAAGTAGCTTTTAAACCATTCTTAACAATTATATTATAAAGTACAATTAATACATTTATATAATTCTATTTTTTATATAAGATATTACACATGCTGTTTTGTCTCAAAATGAGTACTACTACAAACTGTGGTTTGATCCCTGATAATGAAACTTAAGATTATATACTAACCAGATATATGCAATTTAAGACAGTGGCAGCTGTGAGTCACATAAAATCAATTTTAAGTATTTGCTAAATTAAGGAGGGAAAAACATAATTCCAGAAAAAATATGGGAAGTCTCATACTTTTTATTTCATTCTTCCTTAAATAAGTTTTACAATACTTAATAAAACATAAAAGTCACTCAAAAGAAATCTTCATATTACAAGCAAAGTTAAATCTATAACCACTGATTTAAAAATAATTTGAATTAAACCATACTGTAAGTATACTTTTAAGCATACGCAAAACTTTGTCCAAGATGAAAGTAAGTATTTATGCATCTGTGGTTAAAATACTTGAGATTTCTTTCATCACCGAAAGGAAATTAAAATTGAGATTATACAGCTACTGAAAAAAAATATAAATTGCTGCAGAACAGTTCAGCAAAAATCATAAAATTGTATTTAAATTAATTATTTTACTATACAGAAGGTTTAACATAACTAGCTTCAAATATATTACAAATTTAAGCAAAATTAACGCAGCATTTAGGTCAATTTAATTTCCATATAATTTTAAAAACCATCTTTGATTTTAGTATAGGTTTTCTTACTGATGCAAATCAAAATTATGTTTGGCATGTAAAATAAATGTTGTGTACATGTATATTGTGCAAACAGCCCACACCTTAATCTAAACAATTCAAATGCCACAAATAAATGTTAATCACTCCATCCTATGTTTTGGAAGAATTACTGAGTCTTCAACATCTGACGCACCATATACTGCAAGATGCCACCATGACGGAAATAAGTCAACTCAACCTCAGTGTCAAACCTGATGATAACTTCAAAGGCTCGTCCATCATCCACCTGAAAATAATTCCTTTGATAATTATTTTATTACAGCACATAATTAAGATTAAGCTGCAGAGGGATTTTTCTAACTTTATACACATGAACAAAATTATTCTGCAGTAAGTTGTGTTTTGTTTCTTAATATTTAATTTTCAAGAATTTAAAATACTGAAAAAAGGAACGTCACATATTCATTTGTTCTTCTGCTATACAATAAGAAGGGAAATTTATTATAACAGTGCACATAACTGATGCACATGTAAAACAATGAAAGATTTTTCTCTTTTTTTTTTTTTTTAGATGATGAGACTAATACTAGAGAAGGCATTTACAAGAATGGTTGACATCACAGACAGCATTCTGCAAGCCCAATTAATGTGAAGATACATAAAATTGAAATATTTTACAAATACCGATTAGGATTATTTATATTAATAATATCTGTTCCTGTTTAGTAGACCATAAACTCCTTCTTCATTTTGAGGTATTTGTTAATTACATGTACCAATAGTCTGATGTAATATGATAGTTAATGTCAAAAGAATGCATCAAGCAATATTAGAGATAATATTAAAGTTTATGGTCAGTATAGTACTGACAGCATTTCTCTACATATAAATCAGTGAAAGAAGGAAGCTCTAGCCCTTGCCAAAGAAAAAAATATAAATCAGTAGATGGATTACAATGCATAATCACATGCTAAATTAGAAAGAAAAAAAAAATGTAATGCTCCAACAGAAAAATTTGTTGCCACCTGAAGTTGGAAATTCATAATCACAAAGAATAATTTGTATTTAAAAATCTCATACGAGCTGTGACTTTTTTAGCTGAAACTTCAATTATATAACATTTCATATATTAACATATGAAATGTTGCAAAATACACAATAATTTAATAGCAAATACCCAAACAATATCATTTTATCTACCAAAAAAAAACTTTTTAAAAATTAATTCAGACAATTTAATTGTAGAAATATTCTTTGTGAATTAAAATATACTTAAGAAAAATCTTATTTAATATCATATCTAGAAAATTCAATTTTATGGCCAAATTTTTAATACAAAATGTTTAAATTGGACAATTCAAAAACATTTTTACAACCTGAAAATGAAAGTGATCTTCCCCCATTCTTAATTTAGAGATGTCTGAAATTCCTATATCAGTTGGGTAACAAACATTTAAATAATAGTTTCTGAGTACCTTTAAACTTTATGCAGCTTATTAAACATTAAAAAAAAAAAGGATTTTTTTTTTTTTTTTAAATTTCTAATTATACAAACAGCAATCAAGCTGTTCGTGTGAAAAAATTCTATCATGTTCTAGAGAACAGATTACATTTTAATGTTCCCTGAAAAATGGAAGAAATTATTCAAAATATTCTTCTGCAGTCCTTTGCATGTTTTTCCATCAACAATATGCTTTAATTTAAATTTGAAAAACTATGAAGGAAAATCTTATTTTTTTGCAAAATACTTCTAAATACTTGAGGAAATATTTATGTATTAAGATGTAACAGATATTATTCAAAATACAGCTACTGTTTTGTTTGTTCATTTAACTACAATGAAAACACAAATTCACTGCAATATACAGTCAAAAGTCGTTAATTCGGACCTCAAAGCTAAAAACTTTCTGCGCATGTGCCGCGTTAGCACATGCGCACAGGCGTTTTACGCGAGCGCGTAAGAACTTGACTACTGCGCATATGCGTGTGAGCAAGCGCAGAATACGTTTTCGCCTGCGCGTTTAATGTATAACGGACGGTGTAGGCTAAAATTATCTAATTATCTATTTCAGTTAATGTTAATGATTGCGTTGTTCCTTAATCTTCGAATAGGATCCCGCTTATTATTTTTTGCAGACTGTAAGAGCAATTTTATAAAAGTAAACTTGAACTTTCGATTATGTCAAATAGAATTTCCGATGCTGGAACTTCCAAAGGATCTACAAAACGAAAGTATGTTTCAATGTCCAACAAACAAAAAGTGAAATTGCTGAAAAAAAATGGATAAAGACATGAAGAATGTGACAGAGAGGTTAGTGAAAACGAAAAAAATTTCCATTGACCAGTTAGTCGGTATTCTCGGCACAGCAATTAACGGGACTTGAACAGCAGAACTCTTTAACTGAAAAGAAATTATGTCTGTTTATAGAATTAAAGAGAAAGTATTAGTATCACATAAAATGAAGCAACTTAAACAACTTACATTGAAAGAAATGTTTAATAAAGTAAAGTAAACAAATAAATATTAAGCTTTTTTTTTTTTTTTTGTAAATTTTGATACCCTTTAGATCATAATTGTTCTTTATTTCATAAATTACGGTTTCATATTTTTAATTTTAGAATTTCTGCATGCCATCTTACGAGAATTAAACTGATGATCTATAATCCGGAATCGCCAAACTATAGAAAAAGATCCCGACGAGTCCGGATTAACAACTTTTGACTGCATATATATATAAACACATAGATATACAATAATGCAATGCACTTTTACAGTGACAAAAGCAAGATGGGCAACTCAAGCATGAAATTTCTAATTATTGAATTTTTGAAAAGTGTCAACATCAGTTTAAAAAAATGAAATTTAACACAAACATTTTAATAAGGCATATATTCTCATTTTTTACAATATATTACAATTATTTTGCTATCTTTAATTATGCAAAAGAAGAAACTCTAAAAAGGTTCTAACTCATGATATTGGGTTATCATTATTATGTCAGGGAATCATATTTCAAGAATCAGTTTCTAAGAAAACATTCTATTTGGGAAAAATATGAAAACAACATATTTGGCCTCATCTGCCTAATCCTTAACATTTTACAAATGATTACCTGAACAGTAGTCTTTTGGCCAGGCATTATAGTATCTGGTATGCTTATGGTATACTGTTCATATCCAGTCAGTCCTAGACTTTCTGCATTTTGACCTGGAAGATACTGTAAAGGTATTAAACCCATTCCAACCAAGTTGCTTCGATGAATACGCTCAAAACTCTCAGCAATGACAGCTCGAACACCCTGGAATAGGATATGTTTTTGAGAATTTTTATAAACAAAAAATTAACATGTTAATGTTTCAAAAATTGAGGAAATAAATTTAGAAAAAGTCAGTCCCCTGGAATTCTGAGAAAGTAAATTTATACAATATAGAAAACTGAATAAAACTCACACAAATTCCAACAAAAGAAGCTTACCCAAGAAATCTAAATTTTAAAGCTATAAATTAAACGGCTGACATAACTTTCTTCAAATACAGTTAAATCCCCAGGTAGAAAAAGGCACATAAGTTTTTAGTTAGAAATACCAAATTCTGGAAAAAATTGTTCATACTGGGGAAAATGGGAGTAACACATATCATTTATAATACATTTTAACCCTATGCTGTTTCAAAAGCAAAATAGAGATACTGTTCCTTAATATGTTAACAGATTAAAAACCAAGCACAGGACAGTTTATATGCCAAAAGAAAGGAATACTTTTATGCAGCACTTCCCAAAATGAAACTAGTTCATTTACATGGAAAAAATCCTAAAAACACTAGGGTAGCTAATCAGTCCCCTGGAATACAAATTATAGTTAAACTACTAGTGTTCAGTATTTAATCCACTTAGCAGGGCCTGAGTTGGTAAGAATTACAATGGTTCATAAAAAGAGTTTAATAATTTATATAGTTATGTTCATAACACATAATGACTAAAAATATTTATTTTTGATTGACAGTTACACTATAGAAAAAGATTGATTTCTTTTCCATCTAACAGATGCAAAGAAATATATAGGTAAAATCATATCACATACAAGATGAAAAATGATAATGAGTAAAATATTTCCTGAAAGGAAAAATATTAAAAATTACACTTGCTTTCTTTTTAAAAGATGATTACTATATAAAAAATGGAACATCTGCTATTTGTAGAATTAATTTGAAGGAATAGATTTTATTTTTCGTTTAAGTTCTATGAAATTTCCCACATTCCCTGACCATTTTTCATTTCTCTGATTTTCCATGATTTTGTAGGTGATGGTGATTTTTTTAGGTCACTACATTTAAACATATTCTGCTATAATAAAATGGTAAGCAAAATGCTTTTTAAAATATTATTTAATATAAGAATTACAATTAGAAAAGCCAAATGCTGGAAGTACATTAATATCTTCATTTGGCACTCAAATGCAGGAAAACAACAGTATTTAATTAATTTCTTATTAATTCTAAAGTTTGAAACTCAAAATATATAAAAAGCATTTTATATAAAATACACACACACACACATATATATATATGTCTAAATTTATAGTAAAAAGTAGAAAATGGTATTAAAAATCGAGTGACCTAGTAGGTGAAAAATAGCGCTAATAGTTGCTGATTTTTAAAAATTAATTTAAATAAGAAAGGAGGTATGAAACCTAGCAAAGGTCATAAAAACATTTGTGTATCCTATCAAAATTCCAGAAAAACAATGTAAAATAGTGACATATCAAATTTAAAAATTGCGATAGATCCTATCTAATCTACATAAAGATGAAAAATGCGCACATAGAAAAAACAAAATCAATATGTCCTGTTCAAAGCTTCAACGAGAAATTATCAAGGGAAAAGTGCTTGAAGCCTTCAACCAAGTTGATTAACAAAGAGCATGCAAACAAGTTTCGTCGAGCAAATACATCGAGACTCAAAACGGTATTAATCATTATCTATTTTCTTTTCAAACTAAAAATAACAATAGTCTCCATAGATCTGCCCCTTTTCCCAACATATTTGCATGTCTTAAACTTTGGAGAAAAAATTTTTTAATTATCAACAAGTAATCTGAACAGAAACTATTAGATACATTAACAAATTAAAGTCTAAATTTATATATATAAAATAGAAAGGCATCCGTCATTGATTAAGGTCTTAAAAATTGTAATTCTCTATACTATTAAAATCTGTGTGCCTCTGTCTGTTTGTGTGTTTGTAACATCATCTCTCCTCGGGAACGGCTGGGTGTAGAGCTTAGCGGAAGGTACCGTTGGATTCAGAATGCCCGTGGCTCGCCGGATTGACCATCGGCATCTTCGTGCGACTTTAATTAGCCGAGATATTAATTAAAAACTGATTTTCTCCCTACATTTTCCCTACGTTTTGCACTTTCTTTCACGGGTTTCCCCTATTTTAGGGATTTGGCCGAGTGCCAAATTCGTTTTTCTCTCGAATATCTGCGGAACGGCTCCGAGTTGCGATTCGAAACGCATATCCCCGTATTCGAAAAAAATCAACGAATCCATCGATACCGGTCCCATCTTCGTACGACAATAATCGGCGGAGTTATTAATTAAAAACTGCGAAAACGTTATTTCATTTTTCGGAGTGGCAACCGTCTCGGAATTAGCTGAGATAAAATTGCTTTTTCGAAAGCGCCGGGGGGATGACAATTGCTTCCGCTCGAGATTTGTGCTGGCGAAAGGTCACGTGTCAATTTCTTTTTTCTTAAATATCTATGGAACGGCGCTGAGTTGGAATTCGAGGCAGGTGTCTGCGGATTCCAAAAAATTCTACGAATCCAATGATACCATTCTCATCTTCGTAGGACGTTAATCAGCTGAGATATTAATTAAAAACTGTGAAAACGCTAATTTTCGGGCTCATTTTTCCGATTGCAACAGTTTCTTGAATCGCCGCAGATACAAATCAAGGTTATATTCTAAAGTTGAATAAAGCACGCGATTGCATGTTTTACCTAACTGTATTTTAAAAATATTTCGTTAATGTAGGCATTTTAAATAAACAGCTGCTTTTCACAATTTTTTTTTAATTTCAGGTTAGGATGATTGTCACGTTAATTCTTTTATTGATATTGAATAAAAGTTATTATATTACATTAAATTTAAATGATGACGTTCTTGAAGTTGTACAACTTTAATCAGCTGGGATATTAATTAAAAAATCTGAAAAAGCTATTTTTTAAAAATATGTTGTTATTTTTTTAATAATAAATTTGATTTTTTGGAATAATATATTTTTTTATGTTATTAGATACGTGCACTTAATTTAGATATTATCTTTTAATGCAAATGATATTTTAAATAAGTTCGCACCAATAAAAATTAAATTCACACTTTTTTTTTTTTTTTTTTTTTTTTTTAGATTAAAGATTTTTCTTTGCTCCTTTGAGATGGTATACGGTAACTTTCGAATCCCGGTGAGCAGGCAGGCTACACTCATGTTTTTTGTGATTTTACGCATATCTGTTGTGTATGCAGTGTCTTCTGGATGCATAAATGAATAAAGCTGAACTCTGGTAGTTCGGTCCTAATTTCGAATCCCGGCGAACGGGCTGGGTCCATGGGTGTTTGCGTGATTTTACGCATGTGCCTCGTGTACGCAGCATCTTCTGGATGCATAAGTGAATAAAGCGGCCGAAATTCGCTCAAAACCTCTGATTACTGGTAGTTCGGTCCAACTTTCGAATCCAAGCGACCGTGTTGGCTCAATGTGTGTTTTCGGGATTTTTCGCATGTGTAACGTGTATGCGGTATCTTCTGCATGCATACTTGAATAAAGCGGGAGCAGCCCGCGCAAAACTACAGAACACTGGTAGTTCGGTCCAACTTTCGAATTCCGGGGTACTGTACATAAAATTTGGTCGCATACGTGAATACAGCGCGCGGATACCGGGTAAAACCGCTGAACACTGGTAGTTCGGTCAAACATTCGAATCTCTGCGAGCGGGCTGGCTGCATGGGTGTTTTCCTGATTTTCCGCATGTGTATAGTGTATAAAGTGATTTCTGGATGCATATGTGATAAAAGTGGGCGCAGCCTGCTCAAAACCTCTTAACGCTGGTAGTTCGATCCAACTTTCGGTGTCGGCGAACGAGCTGGCTCCCCGGGTGTTTTCTTCTTGCTTTAACTCATGTGTATCGTTTATGCAGTATCCTCTCCATGCTTATGTGTATAAAGCGGGCGCAGCCCGCTCCACAAAATCGCTGAACACTGGTATTTCGGTCCTACTTTCGAATTCCGGGGTACTGTATATAAAATTTGGATGCATACGTGAATACAGCGCGCGGATACCGGGTAAAAACCGCTGAACACTGGTAGTTCGCTCAAACTTTCGAATCTCGGCGAGCGGGCTGGCTGCATGGGTGTTTTCGTGATTGTTCGCATGTGTATCGTTTATAAAGTATCTCATGGATGCATACGTGAATAAAGCGGGCACAGAATACTGGTAATGCGGTTCTGGTAATGCGGTAATTTCGAATCCCGACGAACTGGCTGGCTCCATGGGTGTTTTCGTGATTTTACGCATGTGTATAGTGTATGGAGTATCTTCTGGGTGTATATGTGAATAAAGCGGGCAGAGCCCGCGCAAAGCCACATAACACTGGTAATTCGGTCCAACTTTCGAATACCGGCGAACAGGCAGGCTCCATGTTTGTTTTTTCGTGATTTTATGCATGTGTATCGTTTATGCACCATCTTCAGCATGCATACGTGAATAAAGCGGGCGGGCACAGCACGCGCAAAATCGCTGAAAAATTGTATTTCGGTCCAACTTTCGAATCGGCAGCGGGCTGGCTGGAGGGGTGTTTTCGTGATTTTACGCATGTGTACGGTGTACGCAGTATCTTTTGCATGCACACGTGAACACTGTTTTGGGCGGGCTCCCGCCCAAAAGCGCTGAACACTGGTATTTCGGTCCAAATTTCGAATACCCGCGAAAGGGCTGGAAGCATGGGTGTTTTCGTGATTTTCCGCATATGTATAGTGTATGCGGTAACTTCTGGATGCATAGGTGAAAAAAGCGGGGGAAGCCCGCGGAATGCCGCTAAAAAATGGTAGTTCGGTTCAACTTTTCAATACCGGCCAAATTTAACATAGGATATCTTTTAAAAACGAACAATGATAAGCGGGCTTCAGCCCGCTCAGCTGGCGGGCTTGCCCGCTAGTCTATACTATTAAAATCTGTGTGCCTCTGTCTGTTTGTGTGTTTGTAACATCATCTCCTCGGGAACGGCTGGGTGTAGAGCTTAGCG